TCGAATGGTTTCATCGAAGCCATGGTCAAAACGGCAAAGAACATCATGGAAAAGGCAGAAGAGTCAAGGTCTGATCCACATCTTTCAATGCTGATCTACAGATCCACACCAATAATACCGGGTCAACTAAGTCCAGCAGATCGAGTTACTCACCCCTGCTCATTCATCAATATCTACATCCTAATCTGGAGGAGAGCAGAGAAGCGCATATAGCACAGCAACAGACGCCAGCTGATTACTACAATCAGAGAGCCAAGCAGCTTCAAGATCTAAAGCAATACCAGAGTGTTCGCGTTCAACTGGATCCCAACAAACCAGTCTGACAGAAAGCCACAGTGATTCAGCAGCCCATTGACAGATCACTGACCAGATCACACTCTAGGCAACGACGAACTGTTAGTTTCAAAATGTTTTCCGTCTACACGAAAACGAAAAGCCTGCGTTTTCCATTTTTCCGGCTTGAATGACGTTTTCGAAAAGCTCCGTTTTCGTGTCGGATTAGTGTGGACGGTAGGCCTAACCGTAGAAATAGACTGCTACGTTTTTAAATTTCTCCGGCGTAGTGTGAACGACGCCTGAGGCGCATCATAGTATTTATGCGTCCCGTCTCTTCAACAGATACGTTGTATCCTCTTTCCTGCATCATCGCTTGTATACATTCTATTTCGTCTGTTTCGCAGGCCATCATCCTTTCTAATCACCTCTCGGCTTGACATTGTATTGACGTTCAAAGGAAAAATCAGAAGTTGCTCACTTTTAGAATTTAGGCTATTTAGTCACTAACCCCTTCACTAACCACCTAGCCTACGCAGGAGCGAAGAGCTTTTTCCGCATTCTGGCCGCGCGCAAATTGGAGCGAGAGCAAAAAAGTCGACTATTCGCTCTTTATATCTCTCCAACTCTTGCGCTTCAGGGGTCGGCTGTAGGTCTCGCAACGGAAATACTACATTCAGAAATGGTACAGCCTATCTATAACGTCAAGATTTCAATAACTACGCACAGACATAACACAAGTGCGTCACTGAGCCACGACTAGATCGGTCTCCTCTAGGGGTTTAATTCAAATTTTCAGAGGAGCATGTGAAGATCTACGCCCCGAGGCATCTCTTTCTAAGGTCAATTGGCTACTGACCCTAGCCTATAACGATAGAGAAAGGCCTGAGGTTACCCCCTCCCCCCGCCAAATTATCGAGTAAAATTCCCCCAAAGTCCTGTTACATTAAGTTCATTGAAGTTGTCTTGAAGTTACCAGCCTATAGCATATTGTCTCTGATGGTTTTTCTTAACATATTTTCCATGATAGTGTAGAATCTCATCCATTTGAGAAAAACCTTAGTTAACCTGTGGCAGAAGACTGCTTTTGAGCTCCAACTTAATCAGTTTATTTTGTTTTATCTTTCAAGCATGTGATCTACTTTTCAATCATGTTCACTGAAGCTGTACAAATTTAAAACAAGACCAAATTTTGGTATGAAGTCCCAACCCTTCAAACCTGGGTGGAGAGAGGCACTGTGTGAGTTAGGTGTCTAGCCCAAGACAGCCAAGAAAACATTGCAATGACCATGGCCTGGAAACTAGTGATAGTACAAAATTCGACCTCCAGTGCTGAAAAGACATTTGGCCTCAAATTAGACACATTCTTTTCTGACGTTTCAATGATTTGCGAAAATTAACAAGGAAATCATTCCTTGTACCTCGTGTGTTACATTATTTGAAACTGTATGAACAAGTAATTGACACCGTGTGACCGTTAAATACAGGTCAAGACGATAGAAAAAGTCCCGTTGAGACTTCGCAAATGTTGACCGCGACCGCTTAATAGAAGTGACCGCTTTTAAAATAGAGCTCTAAATTATAGTTATTGGGGAAGATATTTTCGGGACTTTGAAACCTGATCGCTTAATAGAGGATGACCGATTAATACGGTGCCGCTTAATAAAGGCTTGACTCTATTGTTATGACAATAGTGACAACTATTGAAAGAAAGCCCCATGTCCTCACCCGTGCATTGTTCTTCCAGTTAGGTTCTGACTCTTTAACTTTCTGTACCATGTTGGAGGATCAGACTTTGTCTGCAAGAAAAAATATTCAACTTATTATATCAATATGGCTAGCTCTGGGAGCAGTCCATAAAAATGAAAAAAAAAAAAGGACAAGAAAAGGTCAATGTTTGATTTAGCTTTTGAATTCTTCATGGTTGGGGATGAAGGAAATGCAAGTGAGTTTTAAGCTGAAAAAGGTAATTATTGATTGATTGATTGATTGATTGATTGATTGATTTGTTTGTTTATTTATTTAGAGCGGTTTTCAATTGAGTGTCGTAAAACCAAAACCAAACCAATTACCTACTAATTAGAC